TGTGCAAGTCATTTTCTTCCGCGAAAAACTCTTGAAAGGCGGTAAATTCTTTATTCATGACATTAGAAGAATCCGAATAGAAATTTGAGCTGCGGTGCGAAAAATCCTTTTAACGCACTGAACCTTTGAGTAAAATTATACCAACGATGCTTAATATGATATTTTCAACGATGCACAGGGCATTTGAAAAATCGTGACGATGGCGCGACCGCGCGCGACACGCGCGCCACTTCCGAATATCGCATTTTCTTGGTTTTCATCTCTAGTCGAATGGTTTTTTTGCTTACGTAAGATTAAATTTAGACACTGGAAGTGACTAGCTGAACGTTGAGGTGACGCCTTCTTGTATGAACGTTCTATGCTTCTGTGGGCGCGAAGTCCGCAGTGAAAGCCGTCGTCACGATTTTACAAATGAACTATACGTATATTGGTAGATCTCAACTGACAATACTTCTTTCTGCTACTGCGGCCAAGACAAAGAATTTCATAAATTATGCTGCGCAAAAACTTAGCACTCCTTCCATACATTTCATGCAAAACATCTGCCTTTGGGCAACAAGCACATTATTCAAGCTCGCTCTATAGGGTGTCCCAAAAAGATGTGCACACTGTTTGATTGTTAATAACTCTCTTGCTTTCATGTCTTTTGCCGAGCTTGAGGTACCATACTTTAGAGCGAGGTTCAACTTAGATTTAAAGCATGGAGCGACTTATCAGCCGCTCTTCATTACTGTAGAATTACGGTAGGAATTTTGAGGAGGATTTTAAGCCATTGAAAGCGGTATTTTGCCTAAGAAAATAGCCAAACAAGCCAGAAACTCTTGAATTGGGTTGATCGAAGTTGCTGATTCTAAATATGAAAATTGTACGTCAGCACAATGTTTCTATCATGAGCAATTTCTGATTCAGGATAACAACTGATTCTCCAATGTTGGTCAGAAATGTGAATACGCCATCAAGAAAGCTCGAAAAAGTGGTGGAAAGTTATGTAGTGAAATCAGCATGCCTGAAAACCTTGCTACGCAAGTTTTTAGATTTTTTCGAAATTATTTCATCAAAAGGCTTATTCCACAGTGAGGCTGTACGCTGAAAGTTCATACCGTGATCCTACAGTAACGAAGAGTGATCGGTGATTCGCTCCATACTGTAAATCTAAGTTTATCCTCGCTCTACAGAATGATACCTCAAGCTCGGCAAAAGACATGGAAGCGAGAGAGTTATTAACGATCAAACAGTGTGCACATCTTTTTGGGACACTCTGTATATGTGGTCAACCTTTTGAATCACCAGATTAAAGAACTTGTTCGATAAAGATGCATCTGAACTTTGCAAAGAAGAATGATTTAACAGTGTAATATAATACAGTGATAAAGGCATTAGAACGTTCCAAAAGTGAAGGACGTGAACGAATGAGCATGTCATATTAGAAATTGGAAGTAAATTTATATTTCACGTCCTAAAAAAACAATGAAATCCTGTTCTGCCAGTTCCAACGTTATTCGGTAACGAAATTGCAACAATCTCTTGAGAGTTATAGTATGCAGAGTTTCATAACCACATATGAGGCATCTCAAAGCTTGAAACGCGAAAGGTGCACTTGCTTCCAGAAATAATAGTCAGTTAAAGAAATGGGATGTAAATGACATGCTATTTCATAAAGGCGTATGAAAGTGTGAAGTTGAAAGCTCTAAGTTTTGGTCAGGGGAGAGATATCTCACAGTGATGGATCGCAATTTTAGCAGGAGGTCTCCTCTTGCGTGCTAGTAATTCAAAATTTGAATAACAGCCACCACTAGGAAAAAAAGCGAAGAGTTATGAACAATTCGGCCGGACTGGAACAGATGCATCACGGAAAACTATCATTTCTCAACGACGGAAAGAAAGTGGAATGATGCGATGCCAGCAGTGAACCGTAATGAAAACCAAGAAAATGAGCGGAAACTAGCACGCATACCACTCAGAAGAGCAATTATGTGGCGGACTAAGCAGTCGCTCCTCATAACATCATTTGCGAACGCACATATACAACGGACCCTGATAGCCGAGGGGAGATAAGGTGCGATTGTTGGGGCTGAGTGTGCGCGATCGTCGAAGAACATAAGCCGAAGCAGGTGACGTCGCGCAATTAAGCGCTTCATCGCAGGCTGGTGCTAAGCGCGATTGCGATCGCAGTGCCTTAGCCAGTGCGCGGACTCAGGTGCTGATCGCCCTCTGCCAAGAAACCCACTAAGAACGAACAATGGTGAGTTCGCCAACAACAGGCTAGCTGGGCTTTGCAAGATGCACAACCAGCGGCTGAGTAGATGCACAAAAAGATTAATTGCAGTCGAGAGGCAAAGGCACAGTCGAGTAATGTAGTGCAATTTCAGCGCGATAGTTGACCTGAAAGTAAAGCGGATAAAAGATGCGGATCATCTCGTTCTCATAACCATGAATTAAGTGAAGATCTCACAGAATTCTGAGAGTTTTTCTGACTTATTCTACTTTGATCGCTTTCCCACTTTTTAACATTTCCATGGATTTGCTATGGCGGAAATCTGTAGATTTGTTGGCATCAGTGTAAAGTCGCCGGTCTTTTGTGATAGTTCTGTTGCTGTTCTGATTTGTTTACCCTTTGTTTCAAAGAGATTGGCGGCTGAAAGGCGACTGATCGCGTCCGCGACGCAGTCCGCGTTTTCTTCGCGAACGTGCTCTCTGATCAGTTTCTAGCCTTATTCGGTCACGAAGCCCCGCCCTCCAGCCGCCGACCCAGTTGAATCAAAGGGTGCCTAGTCCTTTTCATTCGATTTGTGTGTGCTAATTTGGTGTTTCAATGGTTTTACTACGTTTTGGATACGTGTTGGGACCATGCAATCGGGCGCCTACACATCCTCTCGACCCGTATAAAAGGCGGCTCAGCTTGACTATCAGTTTCGCCGTTGGTATCGAGGAGTTCAGTCGGATCAACCCAAGCAACCAAGCCGAGGAGACAAGGGCGCACCGATCGCCTGGAGGAGTGTTTTTCAACAAAGGGGATGATCAAACCCCTAGATTACGCACATCGTTCCCCCGCAATAGCGTTCTAATCGAGGCCTCTTATTGTCGTTGCCCTAGTTTGAAAAAAAATCCTCCCCCCCCCCCTGTAGATGGAATCCAAGACTTCATCAATAAGTAAGGATTTAGTCTCTACAGCGACTTTACGCACTGCATACTTATGGTATGGTTAGAGGTAAGTTTGAAAGTGAGAAAGGGAGAAAATGCAGTTATTACGAAGTGCTTGCTTACTGGAGAAATCTTGGATCGCTGCTACATACGAAGTATTCAATTTTGGATGTATCTCAGTATATTGTACTATGTTGGTAAGGTTGAGTCAGACTGACTCTACCTGAATGACTTTGTTTTAGTTTATTTCTGTGAAGTGAATGTTTTTAGTAATTTTTCTAGTATCTTTTGTGATACTTACGCACTTACCCTCTGATGCAACTGCCTTGGCGGCTGGAAGGTGGGGCTTCGTGACCTAATTAAGGCTAGGTAATGATTAGAGAGCATGCGCGCGGGAGAGACGCAGATTGCGTACTGGCGCGAGCGGCCATAATCACAAAGCCCCGCCTCACAGCTGCCAAGCCGGTTGAATCAAAGGTTACGTATAAATAAATTAACAGTAAAATATAGCTTCATGGCTTGCTGCGGAGAGCCGAAGTTGAGCATCCACAGTTTAGTAGTCAAAAAGGCTTCTACTGTTACCATCCACGAAACTCCAGCCAATTCCATGAACCGGTCAATTTCAACAAGTTCTTGCCCCTTTCCCCGGGGAAGAACATTTGTTGACCGAACCTCTCGATAATAGAAATCCTGCACGGAACATACAAAGTTGGCCTTTTTTTTATATTGTGCGAAGAAGACCGACTCAATAAGATTGAGATTGATACTGTTTTTTTTTGGGTCTTAATCATAGTAGTATGACAGAAGAACGTAGCTACTGTCTTTTCCTTTCTTTCTCGGAGAAAAATTTTGTTAATTGCGATGTTTTTCGCGACATAGCTTCACATGTTTATCCAGCACTTTTAAATAGAGCTGACCTTCAACTTCAAAAAAAAAATAGTGGGTAATGGAATTTTGGGAGAGTTCAATGCGCATTTTTGAACAAGAAAACTCCATTGAAGTTTTGTACTACAACTAAACTACTTGAGACCACCAACGAAGTGGGCAGACGTGTTTGAGGAAAGGATGGACTAATTGAGAATTTTGCTGGCTACGATTTTCGCACTTCAAACTAACAAGGACCTAAATGGAAGCGATATTCCTCCCCACAGTGAAAAAAGTTTCTCTTCTTTCGTCAATGGTGTTTTATTTGCGTTCAAAGTTATCCGACCTCGTTGCTATCAGTCTCCTATTAGACCTTGCGCAAACCTCACGCAATTTCTACTTTAGCAATACCCCAGCAATTTGTAAATTTTGTGAATTATTATAAGCGTGTTTTGATTACGCAGAGTATAAAACACTCCACCATTAACAAGAGTTATACACACCATGCAATAGTCTGCAAATAATGAATTCGGAAAACATCTGGCAGTTCGCAAACCCCCTGCCAAGTGAAACCGTGCAGGTTGCCCGGGACCATAGAAGTTCATCAAAAGAGGCGAGAAGGAGGCTCATATAACAATCACATTGAATAATTCGTAACCTCTTCATGTCAAAACTTCTTATGATTCCGTCCAAAACCTTAGAGTCGATTAATCTGATTGTCTGTGTTATTCGAAAATATTTATGAAAGTTACACAAAAAGCTCTTCGTAACAGTAATAGAAAAAGTTTTAATGAATTTTGTTGCTCAATTCTTTCCAATCTTGGACACAAGTCCAAAAAATCTAATGATTCTTCTGAAACTTGCCAGACCTTTATTATGTTAAGACTGTCAAAATTTCAAACTAGTGAAGTAATAAGTGTTATAACTGTCAGTCTAATAACGTTCTTCACTCCTTACGCTTGTGTAACCATGCATGATACATAGTATGGCTGGATTGAGTCTTCATCTCACAAAAATTTATAACAAACAACAACAAACAATTCGAAACAATGCATTTCGAAAAAAACCCAAAACGGCCAAATTGAATGAATAAAACCATTCAGAATATGAACGGAAATTCATCAATGTCAAAATAGATCGGATACCAAGTGCTTGTTTCCGTATCTAGCAGATAGTGCCCTTCATTCGCTATCCAGCTGTCGGTCGCATAGCACTCTCTTGGTGGTGTGTATTCGCTAAAAAAGAAGTGATAATACTCGATAATGGCTTCTGGCATATTAGCAGTTGAAGAAGTAGCTACTATTTGCTGGGGGTGGTGCAGGAGGAACCAAAGGCCTGCCGCCTGTTACCGCAGGAGACAATTAGAAGCGCGAGCGCTGTGGAGAAGATTTTGGCAGCGATCTAGGAAAACTTGGCAAGGATATAAATTGCAAACAAACCCTTATAACTGTGCTTACAAATAACAAAGATACAAAACACAGATTTTTTTATCCTAGCATGTGTCCCGCTCAAGCAGGGTCTGCTTTCCTTGTCAGATGTCTCCATGTCATCCTATCTGAGGCAAGGTCTTCGTTTATACCAAGTTCTCGCAGGTCGGCCTTGATTCTGTCCATCCACCTCATCTTGGGTCTACCCCTGAGCCTTTTGCCTGGTGCCTCCACAGCCAGGGCCAACTTAGTGATGTGGCTTTCATCCCTTCTGCGCACATGCCCATACCATCGTAACCTCCTTTCCTGCATTTTCTGGGCAATTGGAGCTACTTTCATTCGCGCTCGTATAGTGTCATTGCAGATGTGATCCTTCAGTGTGACTCCTAAGGTCCATCGTATCCTTGTTTCCATGACACTGAGCTTGCGCTCCTCGTTCCGCGTACACGGCCAGCACTCACTGCCATACAGTGCTGCTGGGCGGATAACGGTCCGGTACACTTGGGACTTGAGTTGCACTGGCATTCGTCTGTCGCACAGAACTCCTGTTAAGGCTCTCCATTTCATCCACGCTGTGTTCATCCTGCCTGCGACCTCCTCTTGTAAGCCTCCCTCCGCTGAGATGTGACTGCCTAGGTATCTGTATGACGCTGTCTTCTTTAGCTCTTTACCATCGATGCTTCTGGTACCTGGAGTTTGTTTCCCTACTTCCATATATTCTGTCTTCCTGGTGTTGAGCTTCAGGCCATACAACTCGAGCCTGTTTTTCCAGTTTTGCACCTCGTCTTGTAGCTCCTTTCTGGTACTTGCTATCAAGACCACATCGTCTGCGTAGAGAAGTGTCCAAGGGGGTTCACGTCTGAGCGGTTCCATCACGGCGTTCATCACAGTGATGAAGAGCAAGGGAGAGAGAATTGAACCTTGGTGTACTCCAACCTTGATTTCGAATTCTTTCGATTGCCCTGCAGCTGTTTGCACGTGGCTTGACGCGTTCTGGTAGATCAACTTTATCCACTGAACGTACTCCTCTGGCACCCTGTGTTTTCGTAAGGCCTACCATATGACTTCATGGGGCACCTTATCGAAGGCTTTCTCTAGGTCTAGGAAGGCTGCATGCAGTTCCTTCTACTTCTCTCTGTATTTCTCCATCACTATCCTAGCGGAATGGATTGCGTCAGTTGTACCTACTCCTTTCACGAATCCGCACTGATTCGGTGACAACTCTACGATATCTCGAAGGCGTGTTTCGATTACTCTCTCGAAGATTTTAGAGTGTGGCTCATCAGTCGGATTGGTCGGTAGGATGCGCAGTCTGCTATGTCTCCTTTGTTCTTCCATATCGGGATGGTCGTGCTGGTGTACCAGTCGCGAGGCATACTCTTGCTCCTTATGATTTGATTGAGGAGACTCGTTGGCCATGTGGCTCCGGATTGTCCACATATTTTCCAGAACTCGCTTGGTATGTCGTTCGGACCAGTCGCTTTGCCATTTTTTGTTCTTCTTAAGGCCAGCCATAAGAAGAACAAAAACTGGCAAGAAACAAAGAAGAACAAAACTCTTCCGTGACTGCTGGTACTGGTCCCTCTATGGGGCTGGCTTCTGGGGTGGAGCTGATGGTCCGGCCTGTGGTGGCCATTTCTTCGAAGTAGGTTCTCCATCGTTCGGTAATGTCCTCTGGTTTTCTTAGCGTCCTACAAGTTTGTCTTTGATATGGAGGAAGTTCCATATCTTTTGTGGACTCCGCTCTTCTTCTCGCTATCCGGTATATCTCGCGTTCTTCCTCGCGAGACTCTAGTTGATCGTAGAGCTCTTTCAAGTACACCTGTCTTGCCTTCTTTACGGAAGCCTTCGCAGCGCGTTCGGCTCAACATTGCAAGCCGCATTCGAGCGTCAGTGAATCAGAATTTAATAAGAAAAAAATGTTTTTTAATATACTCACTCATCATTATGAATACTTAAGTTACAATTTTTGATAAAACTGGGAATTTTCTCAAACTTTATCTTTTTCCAGAATTGGAAGCAGCTTTCGTTCGAAATCGATCACCCAAACTGCAATCAGAATATCATAGAAAAACCTAGCACTGAAGGCTTACGTAAAAATGTAATATGCAGTTCGTCTGATAATTTCGATTCATATTAGTTCTATTTGGCATTTTGTGAAATCTCTCATGACTGCACGATGAACTCCGGCGATGATACTTTCACTGTACTACGAGATTGTATACAACAGCAAAAGTTTATCACAATTTAACTTTTAATTGTATCTCCTCATTTTCAGCTTTTGCTACTGAACTTCAAATGAAGTCCTAGAGATCCTATTGAAAAAATTCACGAAATCCAGCGAAAACTTTTACGCATCATCAAAGCTGCCTCAGTTAATGCTGGCTTCGAGATTTCCATTATCTGTATAATTTTTTCGCTGAAAATGGAGCTAAAATAGCGATGCAGAGTTGTTAGACGGAAGGCCTATATGAAAAATGCGCCTTTCAATGCTGACTCCAAACTTGTGTTTCATATCTTTCAAAGTCATTTCTAAGCACAGCTATAAGGGTTTGTTTGCAATTGATATCCTTGCCAAGTTTTCTTGGATTGCTGCCAAAATCTTCTCCACAGTGCTCGCACTTCTAATTGTCTCCCGCGGTAACAGGCGGCAGGCCTTTGGTTCCTCCTGCACCGCATCCCTATCTGCCATACTGGCAATTAGAGGCTCTCTCTTGAAGTTACCGTATCATATTTGTTTGAATCTGGCAAGTTAGAAAAGAGTCAAGGGTGAGTTGTAGCGAAAAGTGGGCAACGTAGCTCCATGGGTATCATAATCTGAGAGTTAGCCAATTTTCCGGATTTTTTCCACTCATCTCGAGCATGTAGACCCGTCTCATTCTCAAATTCTGGATGCGTTATGCTCCAACCATTGAACAATTTGTCTTTTATATGATACCAGCCTTCCTTCACCAATGCTAATAGCCCCATAAATTCTTTGATTTGTAGTCATATTCTGATCTTCAGAAAAGGCCTTGAGATACCATTCTATAGGGCAAGGCAAGCTCTACAGATGATGTCTAGACAACCGCATAAAGTTTGGTCCACATGAATCTGGAAGCCGAATTCGGCTGGGCAATTTAAATTTAAAATTTCTACTGGTCCTCAACTTCGTATCTTGTCAGGAAATTCTAAAATCCTAAAAACCCCCAACATGCTTCCGTATATACTCTCTACTCTCGATTTCTAGCTATGGAAGAAATTCAGCTTCTGTGCACATGAATATCTTATGTGGTATATGCGTAAGCTTAGGGTTTCGCAGGATCTTTTCGGATGAAGATACGGATTGTTGGATGATTCAAAATTTTGTATAACTTGTGCTGAATTTCATATGGGTCAAACTTTGTGAGAATATGTAAAGACCATTTTGTAGAAGTTGCTTCGCTTTATCGAGTGGTTTCTCAAAGTCTTTTGAGAAAGTGTGAGAGGGTTGTCTGGCATGCTGGTTAAAGATACCACGCTTTTGTTCGTAGAAAAAAAGCCATTTTCTGTGCTCAGGTGGAACATGGGACAAAATCTCGAATTTGCTGAAAATCGCCCAATTCAGAGAAAAAGTGCTGGCTTCGGAATAAGGATAATACTAGGTCGTAACATAAGTTTTGAAGAAACACAAACTTGAAGAAAAAAGCTTCATAACTTTTTCAAAAGATTTTTTCTCATCTCCAAAGTGAATGAAGGGTTCTAACCAATACTTACATTTCACACATGAATCAAACCTATCAATTTTCTGAACTTTTTCTGAATTTTCGGCAAATTTGCAACTTGCGTTATTGAAGAATAGACCTCCAAACTGCCTTCGTATTAGTAATAATGTCCCCGGAAATTCATAAATAATCTGAAAGCATAAGAAACAAGAATGAGAGAATTAACGGAAATATGTGCTAGATCTTGGACATTGCTAAGGTTTTAGAGTTCGAGGAAAACGAAAAATGTCACAAAATTTATATTACGACCTAATCATTGCTGTCAACTTCTGATGAGTTCAGACTCCTGCCTTTTTTAAACTCAACCATGCTGTACCAGTTCTTTCCTTTCTGAGGTATTTTTCGTCACTAATCACCTAATTAGCACGGATAAGTTGAACATTGAGTAAGCAACAGGCAGAGCGCCCTGTGCGGGTACAAAGGTGGTGGAACTCTCTAGAACGAGCACGCCGGTGCTAATTACAGCCCAATAGATCTGACAATAGATATAATGTTCTTGCGGTGCCATTTGCCGGCAACATATCTGCGTGCGAATAATTTGAATTAACTGTGCCAGTAACTTGCTCGTGCAAAGTGGCGTAGAGCGCGCATTTTCAATTTTGCGTCCCTGGCCGTTCGTTCACGAACCTAAATCTTGCAACTGCATGATCACTATATTTGAAGACATCTATCAGACTATATGTGCATGTGCAGGGCGTTTGGAACTCCAACAGCCCCCCTCCTCCACAAGGTTCGCAAAAATTTGTACTGATTTATTACTATTATCAGAAATCGAAGAGAACTTACAACCATGTATGCACACGTTTTCCCTTTTCATCCAGCAATTCCACTCTCATTGGACCAGGTCGGAAAGGAGCCTCGAGATACATAGATGAAAAGTCGGAATGTGTTCCTGGTTTCTCGAGTCCATCAAAACATTTAGTCTCATTTTGGGAAAAGGCAGTGACTGAAGGATTCTCGTTGGCACGACCTTTTTTCCGAATCACAGTAATTCCGATAACGACGTCGTGTGTTTTGTAGTCAGATCTTTTCCTATTAAAATCATAAGTCCATTGCATAGGTTCTTTTCCGTAATTGTGCTTGTGACCGCCGCATTCGGTGGAATGAAATATGTGGTCCGTTTCTCTGGTCTCTTTATCGACTGCTATCACTTCATAACTCGTGACGGGCAAGTGACCGTCGTTTATCTGAGCTCCAGGGCACTTGTTGTCTTGCTCCACATACAGCTATAAATCGATAGATCAACATGATAAGAGGATTCAGCTTGCTAATGGTGAAATAGCAATAGTGGATTCAATTACTACTAGCAGTGGCGTACCCAGGATTTCGGCTCGGGGGGGGGCGCGACAAAAATTTTTTTCTAAAGAAGGTGCGTGGCGTTAGCCACGCACTTCGAAAAAATTTTGGGGGTGCTTCTCAAAATTTTTGCGGGTCCCTGACCCCTAAAATCTGGAAAAAGGGGGCGTGGCGTCAGCCACGCCCCCGAAAAAATTTTTTTTACAAGGCTAATTTGAATTTTTAAAAATTTTTAAAAATTATTTTAATTATTTACAAAAATAAACAAGTCACTTGCACATTTTTATAACCCATATAAGTAACTTTCAAAAATTTCGCGACCCATTCTCGGGGGGGGCGCGCGCCCCCCCCGCCCCCCCCCCCTCGGTACGCCACTGACTACTAGTGATTACATTAATTCAGTAATTAATTGATATTCAGCGCTCTATGTTGTGTTTCACATCTTCTTTTTTCTTTGATATAACTGCAGCACGCGCATCTATCAGACCCCTTGTTATAAAAACCTTAGCCTTTGCAAGTATGGATAATAGCGGCATTAGAGTTATTTATTATATGAGCGCTTTCAACACATCCATAACATTTACAGACGAGTAGATTTTTCGCTCAATATAGTGTGCTTGGGCTGCAGATGAGATGCGGTAAAACTTGCGCGCGAACAAATAGCCACGCCGGTAATGCCGGTATTTTGCGCGCGCAACTGGCCGGCGTAACAGGAGCATAAGCTCCTGCAAGACGAAGGCGGTCGGTTCGACGTGTGACGCGGCTGTGACGCAGCTGTGTCGCAGCCGCGTTGCACATCGAACCGACCGCCTTCGTCTTGCAGGAGCTTATATGAGCGGCTCCACAACTTTGGCGAGGCGGAGCTGCGCTAGCGTGCCTTGCGTTGCGGTTGCCCTGTGCTGAGGCATACCTGATCCATCGATCTTTGGTGAAGATCACGGTCCCGCCTCGCCAAAGTTGGGGAGTCGACGATAGTTTGTTCACGCGCAAATTTTACCGCATTTTATGCGCAGTGCAAGCACACTATATTGAGCGGAAAATCTAGTGAAATGTACTTTTCATCATTTTCTTGAAGTGACAGGTTAGAACGATATTTAATGCTTTGGATAATTGTTCCTTTGACAGGTTAGAACGATATTTAATGCTTTGGATAATTGTTCGAAGACATCTAGCAGGAATTTTAGTCACAGCGTTCAAGATAGGGATACTGTACAGAAATTATACGGTAAGTATACCGTAAATAAGAAACGATCAAAAAATCTTTGAATTTTTGGAGGAGCGATCGTCTCCTGGAACTCGAGTGCAAAGACATCGTATAGTTTGATTCGAGTTGAATACAAATAATTCGATTATTCGAGTGAGACATCCGCATATATTCGCATATTCCATACTCGGACTTCTCCATTTTCGAATCAAAAAACCTGGTTTCGAATCCTCGAATTGGTGGGAGCCGAAATTTGAAACGAATATTATTCAAATGTCCTGTTCGAATGTATCATTTAAGATCGAGTTCGAAAAAATTAGTTTTCGAGTTCTTTGAGTTCCGTGCAGATCCACATCGACCGAGTCGAGCATGTCAGCAAGCTTTAGATATGAATTTTTATTTGGTTATCTGAACAAATCTTTCAAATCTACATATCCACGTTTCATACAAAATGTCTAGCCATTTGAATGAATCATCCGAACATTCTTATGAAATTCAACCCTCAATCTATACATATACAGGGTGTCCCAAAAAAAGTGAACACTGTTTGATTGTTACTAACTCCCTTGCTTTCATGTCTTTCGCCGAGCTTGGGGCACCATTCTATAGAGCGAGGTTTAACTTAGATCTACAGTATGGAGCGAGTCACCGATCTCTCTTCGTTACTGTAAGATTACGGTATGAACTCCGACAAGGATTTTAGGCCATTGGAGGCCATATTATCCTCGAAACAAAACCAAACAAGCCAAAAACTTTAATATTATGGTAAAGGAAGCCGCTGATTTCGAACATGAAATTTCCACTTCACTGTTATGCTTCTTTTCAAAGTTATCTCAAGTAAACCGTAATAGCCGAATTTCCAACACTTGTCGGAAATGTGATTACACCGTCAAAAAAGCTAAAATCACACGTAAAAAGTTGAACAGTGGAATCAGCGCGCGCGGAAACCCTTATACACGATTTTTCGGATTTTTTGAAAAAAATTTTGTCAAATGGCATGTTTCACAGTGGATCCACATAGTAGAAGTTCATACCGTGATTCTACAATAACCAAGAGAGAACGGTAATTCGCTCGATGCTGTAAATCTAAGTTGGAGCCTCCTCTACAGAATGGTGTTTCACCCTCAGCGAAAGACTTGAAAGCAACGGAGTTATTAACAATCAAACAGTGTTCACATTTTTTGGGACCTGTATAAATCTACGTGTTGATAAATTATTAGTTGATGTGTTCTATACAGAAAAATTGTGTGTAGACCGATCAGTGCAAAACTTTACACACATACTATGTTTTCGACTCCGGCCCACCTCGTAGACTACTTTTCGCTGCGAAGTTCCTACTCTTATTGATTTATCGATTTTGAAGAAAAATGAGCTATAATCAGTCACTATCAAACCACTACCAACTTTCGCGTAAACAACAGCGGAAGTAAAGGCTACTGCATGACGAAGGCGCATTACCTTTGGGTGCAAACGCGGCTTTATTAGCCGCAGAGCGCATGAGAAGCAGGTTTTATAATGGTGAAGATACGCGCGCGCCGCACTCGCGCCCGCTCAACTGATATCGTTTCTGCGCCTTCGTCATGCATAGCCTTTACTCAGTTTTGATTCACGATGAGGGGGACGCGGTAGTTTAAGGCGACTAAGTCAGGAGGTATCTGGGATGAGGAAACTTATCTACCCAAAGACTTGCGGCGCTACGTTGCGGCAAGTTCTATAGGGTAGATAGGTTCCGTTCCCGTATGTAATACATGTTTTTACGCTACCGCTAGCGCCGGAGTACTCGTCCGCGCTCATTTAAATAAGTGCCCTGAACGGGGGTTTGCAGAGTTCACAAGATTCGCATTATTGATTTGGAATCTTTGACACTGCAGTAAAGTTTCCATGGCCATGTTTCCATGGTAAATAGACATCTGATCATCAATGGTCTTTCTGCTCACCAAGGTACATGGAGCAGATTTTTAGTCCGCCTGTTTCTATTGTTGGTCGAATAAGTGAAACCTGTACCTTACTGAACTTGAACTGAGTTGAGAGAACGTTATGTGTCGATCGACGCATGCACGGACATCTCTAAGAAATGCACCTCAACTCGCAAAAAATCATTGATTTGATTGTCATACTCGATGTCGTACATCACAAGCGTCTGTTTCATTTTTGTAACAGCGATAACGAAGATACAATATATCTGTTTGCATGTATGGGTCGCTAGTAAACGTCACGGAATACGCAGCTGAAACTTAGACTTAGAACGGACTTAAAGGCAGTGTCCCGGTAAAGTATCGCTTCCCAATTTTAATCTATTCAGAGCCTTTTCGCCATGAGGAACCAATATCTGGGGTTTTCAGAGCATAAAAATGGCGAAAATGAGTCTTTTCGAAGCTTTCCAGGTTGCACATTCAGTAAAAATTCCTTTCGGGCTCCGCCCACTTACAGTACTTTCCACTGAATGCGGACCTGAAAACTTCGGAAAAGCTCATTTTCGCCATTTTCAAGCGCTGAAAAGCGGACACCCCCCATAGCGAGAAGGCTCCAAAAAGGTGAAAAACTGGAAAAGACAGCGCCTTGTAGGCAGTCTCAAAGCAAGGCTGCTTCTTTTTTTCAGGCGCACCTTTGGGAGGCATAAATCACTTCACGTTTAGCTCGCACTTACGTCGCACATATCTCGCACATTCCCACATTCCTGCATTGGTTCTCCTCTGGACAAGCCTTGTTTCTCTAGGCATCAACTAGAAAGGCCACTGCATAAGCGACGGTCTCTCAATGTTAGCCAAAAAATGAAAGTGTAATAAAAGAGTTGCAACAGGCAAACTAAGGCACGCACTTTTGATTGTCCATTAAATGTGGTAGGTAAGAAGAGAACCACTAACAAAGGAGGTCCGCTTAGTCAAAGTGGCCTTTTGAAATGACCCTATACCGCTTTGAGAAGCATTGAACGCTGATTCCAAACCTGTTTTTATCATCCGCCTCTAGAGTTATGAGTGTTTTTTGGAGCAAAAATATGAACAAGAAGCTAGGTAAAATCAACCGTTACGGTCTTGTCAGCGCTCAAGTAGAGCAGTATTGAGTATGAGACGTATGATTGTAATAGGCGGAAGTCGCCTATTGAATGAAGTGATCTAATAATTGCAGTAAATCATTTAAGTAATTCTGGACGAACTTTGTTCGAGCGCATTTTTTCACCCCAAAACCGCTCATAATCGGCAATCAGAAGCGTTTTGCAGATGAAGGCATATCTGAAGCCACCCTTGTAAGCTCAGTTTTACTGTATAGCGCATTTAGTCATAAGCTATTTTTGGAAATATTCAGCTAAAAATACTTGAAATCATCTTCTTTTGCATCTCAATAGGCCTCATAAATCAAAATGAGTTTCTCTTCAAGAAGCGCGCTTCAAATGGGTCCGCTATTTATTTATTTACGTAAACAGTCGATTCCAAAAAAAGATCACACAACATAAGTACAGTTTGGACTCAAACAACCGACATAAAAAATCTTGCTGCCTTTTGAAAAGTAATGTGCATCCCATTGTTAAATGCCAGCGAGCTTGCGGGCAAAAGCTAGCTGACTTAGCCCTCAAAAAAGAATCTCTTTTCAAATAAGCGGCAGGATCAGAACAATAAGGAAAATGATTCGCCATAAACAAAATTTTTTGTGCAAAAAAGACATAAACTATCAATAAAAAATACACAGAGGAGAAGAATACATAGAAGATTTTAAAAAAAGGTACAGAGG